AGCTTTGAATCTGGACACATTTTTGTCTTTATCCACACCTGACCTCTACTTCCTATACTGGGCTGAACCAAAGTCCAAGATACAAACATCTGGCACTATGGATCTGCATCTGAACGGCCAATCTCACAGCTATATCTGACTAGAAGATTTACTCAGCATGGATTGGATCCTAAACTCGGGTTTTGTTTTTTGTTTTTTGGAAAATAAAATGAAAATATACATGCTCGGGTTGCAGGCTGCCCCTGGGAAGAGAGGACTACATCAGCCCTCTCTCACTGTAGCGCTTGGGGCCAGAAGAGAAGCGAAGCTCCTCTCCATGGCCCTTACCTTGCATTAAGTTATAAGAAGAAGAAGCTGAATTTGGTGGTCCTAGCTCTTATAGTTTATAATGCGTTCTTGAAGAAACAGAGAAATTTAAATATATAGAAAATTGAAACAGAAGCCTTCATGTCCTATCATGCTAAAGGTGATATCAAAAGGATTTTGAACCCACTTTTGGATTTGTTTTTAACGGCATTTGGGCACTCACCTGGCTTTCTCATCTGCGATAGTCACTGCTATGATGCTGAATTTAATTTAGAAATCTTTAGATATATCAGAATGTCCATAATTTCATATTATAACATTAAAGCAAAATATATAATATTGCCCCCCAACATGTATCAAGCATATTAAAGGAAAGATACCATCTGCATGTAATCCAGACTAGCCAATATTTTTAATCGCAATCACAGAATTTCAGCTACATGGTTTTATTTTTATTTTTAAAGAGAGCACAAAAATTGGCTGAAAACTTTCCTCTTATTTCAAATGGAAAATGCATAATTCTAAGAAGCTCTAAAATTTATCAAACTCCTTATTTATTATGTGCCTGGCTCATTCAATACATTCCCAGATTTGCACTGAAACTATATTTTTTGTTTCATACCGGAAAAAATACAATAAAAATTTGTATCTAGATTTATAAAGACTGACACGAAAGAAAAAATTTAAAAATATGCACCAATCTTAGTTTCGTAAGCAGCAGTGGATTTTAAGAGGCCATCAAGGTACATCTTCTGTACTGGAGAACTGCCTTTCCTGCTGCATAATAAGTAATTGCAGCAGGTAGATTAGCTGGTCAAAAAGCAGGTTATGTCTTGTCTGCCCCGAATTGCTATGCAGCAAAATTTGACTTAACAAGAAGCATTTATGTCTTCTTCCCTTCTCTGATGCCTAGCAAAAATCAGAAATATGTACATTTTGATGCATATTTTTATTTATTAATAAGCATCTCTGTAACTAGAGCGGGTCAATTTTTTTCCAGAATTCCTACAGACATGTTACAATTTTGACTGCCGTCTGACATGCCAAAAAGCAAGGGACACAAGGCAGTGCGCTTCTGATGGGGTCTTCTCTGCCCCCTGCTGAAGGGATCAATGTCTGAAACTCCCTGAAAGTTCACTCAGAGTGAGCAACCACTCAGGGTATGTCTACACTACCCCGCTAGTTCGAACTAGCGGGGTAATGTAGGCATACCGCAATTGCAAATGAAGCCCGGGATTTGAATTTCCCGGGCTTCATTTGCATAAGCCGGGCGCCGCCATTTTTAAATCCCGGCTGGTTCGAACCCCGTGCCGCGCGGCTACACGCGGCACGAACTAGGTAGTTCGAACTAGGCTTCCTAGTTCGAACTACCGTTACTCCTCATTCCACGAGGAGTAATGGTAGTTCGAACTAGGAAGCCTAGTTCGAACTACCTAGTTCGTGCCGCGTGTAGCCGCGCGGCACGGGGTTCGAACCAGCCGGGATTTAAAAATGGCGGCGCCCGGCTTATGCAAATGAAGCCCGGGAAATTCAAATCCCGGGCTTCATTTGCAATTGCGGTATGCCTACATTACCCTCCTATTTCGAAATAGGAGGGTAGTGTAGACATACCCTCAGATAGTTCTCCAGGAAGAAATACTGGCAAATTAAGAACCACAGGCCAGTTAAGAAGCCTTGCCTATTTTTGTTCAGAGGACTGGGTGTGGTTGGGACAGAGGAGAAGCTCCTCAGGGCTAACCTAGAAGCCAGGCTTCAGTCTTGCCTTAAGTGCTTATATTTTGGAGAAGGTTTTTCTCTCTCTTTATTTAAAGGTGCTGACTGCAAATCCTGAGTCACCATGTTGTTACTTCATAGTTTAGAGACTGAGGCCAAGCAGTCAGCCAACTGTGGAGAGTAAGATGAGGTACTCCTGCAGTACCTTATATGGCTCTGAAGGGGGCACTGCTGAGCAGTCCTGCCTCCCCCAGTGCTGTATCTGTGAAGCAAAAATATGAGGTGTAAATTCAAGATTCAATGGGATTATTAAGTCTTGTGGTAAATCTCCAGGGGGACGATGCATGTTGGAATCAATGATCCACCATTATGTGGAACTAAACAGATTATAGATGATTTTAAGGACCTTAGAAGAGAGCTGAAGAAGAGGAACATTCTCAAGAGTTTCTTATAGTCCCAAATGAGGAAATGGAAAAGGCAAAAACACTTCGGCTGTGTCTACATTGGCATCCCTTTCCGGAAAAGGGATGCTAATGAGACACATCGCAATTGCAAATCCGCGGGGGATTTAAATATCCCCTGCGGCATTTGCATTTACATGGCTGCCACTTTTTTCCGGCTTGGGGATAAGCCGAAGAAAAGTGCCAGTCTAGACGTGATTCTCTGGAAAATAAGCCCTTTTCCGGAGGATTTCTTATTCCTACTTTCAAGTAGGAATCCTACTTTCAAGTAGGAATCAATGATCCACCATTTCCTACTTTCAAGTAGGAATAAGAGATCCTCTGGAAAAGGGCTTATTTTCTGGAGAATCACGTCTAGACTGGTGCTTTTCTCCGGCTTATCCCCAAGCCAGAAAAAAGCGGAAGCCATGTAAATGCAAATGCCGCGGGGGATATTTAAATCTCCCATGGATTTGCAATTGCGATGTGTCTCATTAGCATCCCTTTTCCGGAAAGGGATGCCAATGTAGACACAGCCTTCAGGTGTGACTGGTGTGAAACTGAAGGTTTAGGTTTTCTGAAACACTGGGCCGTATTCCAGTAGGAGAGAGGGCTATAGGAATGAACGGCCTGTATCTCACTGATGGGATGGCCAATAGTCTCAGTTACAGACTAGCTGAAGCATCCAGGAGGGTGTTAAACATGCTGTGAAGGCAAATATGATATGAACTCAAGCTCACATTGTCATGAACAAATTGAACTAATGCCAGAAAGAATGTGACAAGGAGAGATTTTTTTCAGCTGTTAATGTACCAATGTAAGGCATCTGAGTAACAAGCAAGAGGAACTGGAAATTCTCATTGATAAGAAGAAATTTGTAATAACTGGCACTATTGAAACAACGTGGGACTATTTGCATATTTAGAATATTAAAATCACTGGTTGTCACCCGTTCAGGAAGGATAGAGTAGATACAAGTGTGTGGGGAGGGGAAGGGTACTCTGCATTAAAGACACCACTTTCTTTAAGAGTTATTGATAACCCAAAAAAGCACAGTTTTGAATGTGTATGGTTTAATACACAAGTAACAAAGCCCACAGAGAGGTATTGGTAGTGATCTGTTAGCCTACCAGTGAGAGAGAGAGAAAATTCTAGATATAAAAGGGTTCTTTCATCTAGTGGAGAAAGGCATTACAATAACCAATGCCTGAAGCTAGACAAACTGAAATCTGAAATTTGACATACAGTTGGAAAAGCAAAGAGGATTAACCATTGGAATTATCTAGCAAGGTAAAGATGAATTCTTCATTTCTTAATGAATCCAGATCAAAACTGGACGCCTTTTTGGAAGATCTGCTTGAGTCAAATGTATGTTCAACACAGGGGACATAAATTGACATTCCAAGTTTTGTGTGGTCTCACTAGAAAATCTGGCCTTAAACTCTATGGCTGTGTCTACAATGGCCCCTTTTCCGAAAGGGGCATGGTAATTTTCAACTTCGTAATAGGGAAATCCGCGGGGGATTTAAATATCCCCCGCGGGATTTAAATAAAGATGTCCGCCGCTGTTTTCCGGCTTGTAGAAAAGCCGGAAAAGAGCGTCTAGACTGGCCCGATCCTCCGGAATAAAGCCCTTTTCCAGAGGATCTCTTGTTCCTACTTTGAAGTAGGAATAAGAGATCCTCCGGAAAAGGGCTTATTTTCCGGAGAATCACGTCTAGACTGGCACTTTTCTCCGGCTTATCCCCAAGCCGGAAAAAAGCGGCAGCCATGTTAATGCAAATGCCACGGGGGATATTTAAATCCCCCGCGGATTTTGCTATTCCGAAGTCTATATTAGCATCCCTTTTCCAGAAAGGGGTGCCAATGTAGACACAGCCTATGAGTGGATTAAAAAAAACCCCTAAGGATAACATTTTTTTAAACATTCTTGTGAAATTTCTCATTCAGATATAAAGCTGGTCCAAGTTGTTTAACTTTTTGGTAACTTTCCCCCATTTTTTTCAACACAATCTGTAGTTTAACATTTAGAGCAGTTCAGTAAGACTACTGACAAATAAATTTTCTGACCAAAAATGGTATTTTTTTTCAACAATTTGCACAGTTTGTCTGTGTCTAAACTACATCCCTTTTCTCAAAACCCTTTTTTGAAAGATCCTGTACTCATTTTTTGGTTTTATGTTCCATCGATCCTCGTCTAAACTGCCATTTTTCTTTCAAAAAGCCCTGTTTAAAAAAAAAAAAAAAAACCCGCAGCCGCCATTATGCAAATGAAGCATGGGAAATTTAAATCCTGGCTTTACTTGCAATATCGAAGTGTCTAATTTACATCCCTTTTTCGAGAAAAGGGATGTAGTTTAGACAGCCTTTTACATATTTCTGACCAGCTGTATTGTGTGTGTGGGATAATTCTCAGCAAAAACATTTTCTGAAAATAGTCAAATATTTTGTCAATGAAATGTTCCTTGAAAATTTGTTTCCAATCCCTCCCACAGTAAATATTCTAGAAAATATTCTTCAAATAAGCAAGGAAATGAATAATCCTGATGTATGGTGCATTTATTTTTTGTTTACTTTATATCCAGAATGGAAATACTGGTACTACCGAGCCATCTGCCACTTCTGTAGCATGTAGCAATATCACATTAATAGGAAGTAGTTCTCATTACAGTACTTTTCTGTGGTGTCATATTGTTTGCATGCTTCCATTGTTACCTGCTACCTTAGTGTAACACCATTTACTTGAGAAAACATGGATATTAGGAAAGGCTTCACACAGCTGCTTTGTTGACCTTGGTAACAGTGCAAATTGAGAGCTTGATCCCAATATCAATAGGACTTCTTGTAGGTTACAGTTCTATTCAATATAGAGGTGGCAAAATGTGGACCTATAAAAGAAGGTGAAGATTTTGATAACCAATAAAACACAGAGAGGCTATGATGCGTTCAATCACTGAAGTGCTTGGCTCTATTTCAGGTGATCTGAAGTGATGTTGATATAATGCAGCACCACATGACATCCTTCTAGATGGCAAGGTCAAAGTTGTGTTTCCTATAGAGCTGCCAAATGCATCGGCTTGTTTCAATGGGACAGTCAAGTTCTGGAAAACCAAGGATAAAGATGGTAATAGTTGCTATTAAAACACATACACTTTGCTGCTACCTACAGTCAAGCTGGGATTCTTTTGCTAACAAATACTTTTGAAGAACACATTTTCGGCCTGATTCTCCTCTCCGTTTTACCTAGATCACAATGAAATAGTGGAATTATTTCAGATTTATACTGGTCAAGTGAGAGGAGAACCAGGCCGTCCTCCTCTTGTTCAGAACTCCCCTCTCACAATCACAACTATGCAGGTTCACTCACACAAGCATTTACTCTCACACACTCTCAAACGTTTCTCTGTATACTCTTTGCATTGTGTTTCAAAATGTTTATTGATAAAACCGCTTATATGAAATAGATTTGACAGAAAAACGCAAACTACACACCATGCACATTGTTAGTGTTGCATACACACAACAGAGCCCTGTGTTATCACTATTCTAATTACTTTTATGAGAGACAGAGGGACAAATTATGTTCTTAGTGTAAATTTGGACAATCTGATTTCTTTTGTTAGAGTTACATCATGTTTCCACTGGTGCCTCCAAGAATAGAATTTATCCCAGATATTTTAGTCAGTAAATCAGCACATTTATTGTAAACATAGAAAGAGTTGTTAGACTGCCTGCTATGGTCAGAGCAACCTCCCACCTTCTTCAATGACAAGCATGATCCTGCTTTCATTGCAGCTTACTTCTTTCACCTAGTCTGTCATTGCTGATTGACCAGAACACTATGTAGAACACATAGTCCTGGCTGGGTCAGCAGCAGCTGGAATCAAACATAAAACTTCTAGGGTGCATCTACACTGCACCATTACCTCGAAATATCTTATGTTGAAATTTGGCGCTGTCTACACAGCAGCAAATTTTGAAATAAAGTGCTATTCCAACAAGTCCCTTAACCCTCATGGAACGAGGGTTACAGGGACTCCAGAATAGTGCATCCATTATTTCAAAATATATTTAGAAATAATGGGTGTGTTTAAAGACACGGAATTGCTATTTCGGAATACTTCCAGTATCCCAAAATAGCGCTGCTGTCCGGACGTAGCCCTACTGCCTAAGCTAAAAGACCAACCTCATCAATCTTTACATGTGGCCCATAGGTTACAGCTGCTCCCAATTCTAATTTTCATTCTTGCTTCTAGTTGTATAACTCCCATGTAAGTGAAAACTGGGACTTGACTAAATAATGGGTCCGTAACTCATTATATATGAGGTATATATGGGCTCCATATACTGATTTGCTCCTTCTGATCATCTGGTCCTATGTCTTACATAAAAAACACCTAAACAAACAAATCACTCAAGTTCTGTTTGCTGCTGTCTGTATGGTCATAATGTTCAATGATCTGTGAATGGCCTCACAGCCACTGGGATTTGTGATCATTTATGTTTGCAAAATTTTACAGGTTTGTATTGGGAACATATTTGTTATTGGGGTGAGATCAAGGGTTCACAGGACTAAGGACAAGCTGCAGAAAGAGGCTCCACACTTCACAGCCTCACCACTCAATGCCCTTCCCCCAGGCCCACCAACGGGGCCAGGCGATTCCACGAGGCGTACAGGTAGTTCGGAATAGGAAGCCTAATCCGAACTACCTAGTCCGTGCCATGTGTAGCCGCGGGCACGGAGTTCGAACTAGCCAGCATTTAAAAATGGCGGCGCCCGGCAACATGCAAATGAAGCCCGGGAAATTCAAATCCCGGGCTTCATTTGCAAGTTCGTATGACTACATTAACCACCCTAGTTCAAACTAGGGTGGTAGTGTAGACATACCCATAGAGAGTAAAGGTATCAGAATCCAGCCATAACATTCACAAGTGAGACCAGAGAGTCCTTTCTCAGGGTTAGTTGGGCAATGGAAACAAAGACCATCAAGAAATAAGAACTATTGGTGACCAATAGTATCTGGCTAGGTCTAGACTGGCATGATTTTCCGCAAATGCTTTTAACGGAAAAGTTTTTCCGTTAAAAGCATTTGTGGAAAAGGGCGTCTAGATTGGCACGGATGCTTTTGCGCAAAAGCACTTTTTGCGGAAAAGCGTCTGTGCCAATCTAGATGCGGCTTTGTGCAAGAAAGTCCTGATCACCATTTTCGCGATCGGGGCTTTTTTGCGCAAAACGGTTCTCAGCTATCTACACTGGCCCTCTTGTGCAAAAGCATTTGCGCAAGAGGGCTTTTTCCCTGAACAGGAGAGTCACTGTATTTGCGGAAGCACACTGACAATCTTACATTAGATCGTCAGTGTTCTTGCGCAAATTCAAAGCGGCCAGTGTAGACAGCTGGCAAGTTTTTCCGCAAAAGCAAGTGCTTTTGCGGAAAAACTTGCCAGTCTAGACACAGCCTCTATGTTTACAGAGACAAATGTCTGTTTTCAGGCAAAGATGAGCAATACTGAGGGAAAGTCTACACTGGCATTTTAGACCATTGTAACTTTCTGGCTCAGGAGTGGGAAAACATCAGTGTGAACCAGGCTACAGCACTGGGAGTCATGCTCAGTGCTGTTAGCTACTGTCTGGTGGAGCTCCTTCACATGGAGTGCTGGGAGACCTCTCTGTTAGTGTTCGTACCGTGACCACACTTTCAGTTTAACGCTTTTTTGCAGCTGCGATTTAAAGTTTTAAGTGTAGACAAAGCATTTGTGTACTGAATATTGTGAGCCTATGAAAATTAGGCCCTTTATGAATGAAAACTTCAGGATTTGGTGTATGGTACTGTGACGGGGCGAACAGGCCCGGCACTGAAGGGCAGGGAGTAGCCCAGGCCCAGCTGACTGAGAAGTCCTTGCCCATCCAGCTCCTTTGGGCATGCTCCCAGCAGAGCCCGAGTATAAAAGCAGAGAGAGCTCTGCAGCGAGGGAGCGTCACTGGGGGGAAGGAGTAGGTCAGGCTGCACCTGTGTTTCTGCAGCAGCTGAGACCCAAGTCGCCACCCGCAGCCGACCCTAGAGCTGAGCCAGCAGCCGCCACCCCCTGGGAGGCAGGAGCGCCCTCAGCCCCAGCGCCAGTTCGGTCCAGGAGGCCAGCAGACTAGGATGTGGTAGGGAGCAGCCCAGGGCAAAGGACCAATAGTGTGGCTTGGTGTGTATCAGCCGGATTCCCTGCCGAGTAGGCAGGAGTCATAGTCCCTGCCTAAAGGGCCCTGGGCTGGGACCCCATGGAGAGGGAGGGCCCAGGTCTCCCTACCACCCTTTTCCCTACCCTGGACAATCACCCCTGGCCAGGAAGGGCTTTTCTTGTGCCTGGGTTGCAGGTGCCGTATATACCCTGCTAGAGGGGCCTGAACTTTGTGACTGGGCCGCAGGTGCCATATATACCCTTTCAGAGGGACATGAACTTTGGGGCTATGCTTGGGGCTATCCCCTGTAACCTAACACTGGGGAAGGGTGTTTTTGGGTTGAGCCGCAGGGGCCGTGTATACCCTAGGGGCAGGTCATAGAACCCGGAAAGGTGGCCACAACCCTGAGGGGGAGACATGCTCCTCGACAGGTACAATGAGACCTGACTCCACAGTGGAAGAACTTTTCCCAAGACCAAGAAACAACCTGTACTGTTTTACACCTCTAAGCATTTTTACTCCTCTTACCACTAGAAATTCCTGCAAACACTAACAGAAAGGAATTTTAATTTCTTCCAGTTACACATTGTTAGGAAGTTGGGACCAGGAGGCGGGAGGGAATCTGACCTTGAAACTTAGTCACACTAATAGTATTAAGGTACCAGAACGTGTACATTTCAGTTTATCATCATGACTCACCATGATAAGATTAGATATAATCATGTAACTTAATTTCCAAACATCTAGACATGACTATTTTTTGTTTGTAGCTCTGGCAGTGAAGCCTCAAGAGAATGATGAAAGTGGTGATTAAGGCTTTATTTACATTTTCTTTAGACATCAGTGACATTATATCATAGAAGATCATTTTAACCACCTCTCAAGTGCCCAATAGATAACATGCTGCTTACCCTAAAAACTTGAACGCTGATTTATTTATTTAACGAAGTGTGTGGATATGAGAGGGGAGGGTTGGCGTTAGGGTTGGGTCTGATTCAATGACTGTTACAGTCAGTGGCAAGCCACTTATGGACTTCATTGGGCTTTGGATCAGGTTCTTTAAGTTTGGATAAGTACAGTACCTTCTCCAGTGTGAGCAGTCACTGGAGAAATGGAGCACTTGCAATTCCATCTTATAATCAGTATCCTTATTTCATGATTGGTTCTCACATTTACATTTTTAAAGCCAGTTTGCATAGGTAAAGGGAGTAAGCCAACAGTCCTTAAAAACAGGAGTGTATTCTTATCAAATATATAGTAGCCCAATGTCTGTGACTCTGTAACATTGTAGCGTTACGAGTTTCCTCTGGGGGCGCTGTTGCCTCCCGCCGTGGCGGTCAGCTGTCTTCTGTGGTGCTCAGCCGGGCCACCGCGGGGGAGCAAGTGGCGCAAGAGGCCGTTTGGGCCCCACGGTCCCCATGCAGCACAGGGAGAGACGGAGCAAGAGATCAGAGGCTCAGGAGAGAAGACTGACGTGGAGGAGAGACTTGAAAATCCCGTCTTATGACGGGCTAATTGGCTAGTATAATGATAACAACACTTGGACCTCTAGCACAGGAGTGGGCAAAACGGCCTCCATTGGCTGGATCCAGCCCACCAAGCGGGTTGATTCAGCCCACGGAGGCCCTGCTACTCCCCTCCCCCAGGCCAATTAGGACCTAGGGGTGGGGGAACTCACAAAACTTCCTCACACCCTGTGAGGAGCACACAGCACTTCAAAGTGCTACGCACTCCACGCAGGGCGGGAGGAGATGTCACGCGCTGCCTTCCCCCAAGCCCAGATTGGCCTGGGAGAGAAAGGTGCATGCAAAGTTTCCTCCACCCTACCCCCACCCTGCGATGAGTGCACAGCACTTCAAAGTGCCATACGTTCGCGCAGGGTGGGGGCAGGGAGAAGGAAGCTTCGTGCAGCTTCCCCGCCCCCAGGTTCCG